CTGAATCAAGATGGAGTAGTAGAAAGCCAAAAACTTCCTTTCCAAAAAATTAGTCACTCCTAAGAATATAACCTTTTCGCTTAATTTCCTTCTTTATTATGCACAAAACGCTACATGAAGGTCAGTTCGGCTTCAGACAGAACTGTTCCGCTGGAACAGTTCTGTAAAATTCCCACATTTTTCTGAATCAAGATGGAGTAGTAGAAAGCCAAAAACTTTCTTTCCAAAAAATTTGTCACTCCTAAAAATATAACCCTTCCGCTTAATTTCCTTCTTTATTATGCACAAAACGCTACATGAAGGTCAGTTCGGCTTCAGACAGAACTGTTCCGCTATTCAAGCGATACAAAGACTTGTTTGTGGCAGTCGAAGATTTTGAGGTGGGTCAACATACGGTGGTGTCTATGTGTGACACTACCGTATGAGCAAGGCCTTCGACTGTGTTTTTTACACAGTACTATTAGACAAACTACAATTATGCGGTATACGCGATACTGCATGGAAATTATTCGAATCGTACTTGAATGGTAGGAGACAAGCTGTTCTTATGGACAACAGCTATTCTGAAATCGAGAACATTCATTTTGGGGTATCTCAAGATTCTATCCTTGGTCCACTTTTATTCATTGCCTATATCAATGACATATTTCATTATATGTGTCCAATCAAATGTATTTGTTATGCAGTTATGTTTACTCCTTTTATGCTTCTGGCAAGAAAATTTACCTATTGGAAAAAACTTCACATGATTTTTCAAGAAAAGCTGACACATGGTTCGTTTCTAATTGCTTGAAACTCAATAAAAACGAAAATCAAAATTTTTTTTCATCAATAATACGATTGTCAACAATTCAGAAGTTAAACTACTTGGAATTGTTATAGATGACAAATTGAAATGGTCACCGCATATTGAGCACCTAAGTAGAAAATTAAACTACACTCTATTCATATAACGAAAAATGAGCAGATTTGCTAACTTGGCAGTTTTGAAAACAGCCTGCTTTGGCTTATTTCACTCTCACATTAATTACGGTGTAACTCTATGGGGAAACGCTGTAGACTCTGTGAGAATTTTTATACTAATAAAAGTGATTCAAATCACTAGTCAAAAAATGTTTTTCATTACTTTCTGTACTCTCTCAATTTATAAGACTTCTATATTTGTAATATAGAATAAAGAAAATACTTTTGTCTAGTTTCTACTGTGTTTACTTGAAAATGGTTCTATAAGCCGAAACCGGTCGTAACGAATAAATAAATACAGTAGAAACTAGACAAAAGTATTTTCTTTATTCTATATTCAACATGAATTTCTACAAAATAAATGAGTCATCAATCGAACGAGTTCTATATTTTTGTTTAGCAAATTTAGTATACGCCTAGTTTTTTTTAACCGCTGCAAGTTTTCAGGAGGAACTCATTCATTTTTTGATCACCACATCACCACAGGTTTTACAACTATGAAAATCATCCAAAACAAGAGTCAAATCATAACTGAATCTACTTTCGATAGGTCCTGAGAGTTTATTGGTATCATATTTTGATACTACGTTTTTATTTTACTAATACGCTTTAAACTATTCCAATTAGTATTTCAAATATGTTGTCACGAAATGATATCGATGAGTCTATGACAACTGCAAAATTAACTTATAGTGATGTATCAATTTCAGGTTTGGTTCCAAAACCGTCGAGCCAAATTTCGAAGAAATGAGAGAAGCATCAATTCGCAGCAAACGTCTCCATCAAAAATTCCCTGCAAGACACCTCCAGTTCCTTTGAAGGCGGATACAACAGAGAAACCGTTGTTTCCGTATCAGAACCATGCCACCTCGCATTCCGGGTCTGATGTACAATATGTGATGCCTTGGAAATGTTCCTATTCGCAATACAATCAACACGAAATCTATACGAATAACTTCAATAACTTCAATAACTTATCGAGCCAAACTTGTAGTTTTTTATCTAGTTCTCCGTTTGGTTATTCAACGTTACCTTCGAATTCAGTTTGTAATTCAATAAATATGCCAGCTTTTAGATATAGGACACAAGATTTCAGTTTATGAGTGATAAAATTTGGAATTATTTGGTTTAAGTAAAATATTGTTGAAAAAGTTACAACTAGTGTATTAATGATGAAGAAATTTGCTACCTGCATTTCTTTCGAATAGTGATCATTATGTTGTACAATTCACTTTTTTATGCAACGAGAAAAACATTTTATTACCTATATCACGAATCAAATTGCAATTGTAATCATATTGTATTATTATCGATACGGATGCCCTCCGATAAATCATATCACAATTTCAAAGTTGATTTTCTGCAAAATAGAAATACCTACATGAAAGTATATACATATATTCTGCAACATTGAAAAAGTTTTATAGTAAAGAAGAAAGTAATACAAAACATGAAATTATGAAACAACAAAAATTAATTGGCGCTCCAGGGAGACTTGATTGATTCCAGTAGCGCATTTGCTTTTCTAGCTGCAGGAAAACCCGGAAAAACCTGCAGCACCACAACATCTGAAAATCTTGATCTGTCAATGTCCTCTCTTTCATAGAATAAAATGTAGGGTGTCTCGAGAGGTTCCAATAAATATCAGAACTATCGTCAAACTTAAACTAGTCCGTTTCGTATTTGACCAATGCGTAATAATGACAAGATACAACGCCAGAACCACAGTGAACAATGACTGCATGAATATTATATTAATGGTCTTCTAGATTGATGTGTTCATTTATTTTGAACCTTCTTGAGAGTTTGGTACTTCCGTCAGAGGTTGAGTCATGTTTGAAGATCTTCAGTATTATTATAAGATTGACTGGTGCCTCAGATATATTTGTTGTCTCAAAAAAGTCAGTTAGTTTGGCGCATGTTTGGCAATACAGTTGATTATCACCCGTTAAAAGTTCCATTTTCAGTCATATTAAGAAACGCCAGTTAAAGTTCCAAAAAGTCACATACGTTTTTGCTACCTCTTGAACATTTACTACAAAGTGAATAAGTGAGAATTTTTCCAGCAAAAAAATATACAAACACAAGACGATATAAACTACGGAATCGTTCAATCCAGAGCGGTCAGAAGTATTGATTCTGCTACTTTCCTGCTCACGAAGAGTATTCAACAAGAACCCCAAGAATTCGGAACAATCCTCTTGTTGTCCTAATGAGTATTTGGTGGACTTCAAAGACTCCAGGGAATCGAATGGTGGGAAAGATGATGCATGAACAATTGTTTGAGTTTGGTGAATAAGTAGGAAACATTCTCGTTCATCATTAAAACCTCATTCTTGAAATTCTTCGTCATGAACAACACTTGTGAATTGCTATTCATGTGTCAGGTGTTTCCTAAACTATCTGATCCTATTTTCTTCGCAAGATTTTCAGGACTGTCTACTTATTCATAAGGAAGAACATGTTTCACAGAATCTGCATGAGAACCATTTCTCAAGCTGCAATCGACCCTTCTAAGTGATGAAGGGTTTCGTAGAGGGATCGATTCGGTTCTTGCTCCATGAAGCTCTTCCACTGAAAAAGAACCAGTACCATGAGGAATGCAGCTCATATTTGGGGGACAAGATTGACTCAAGTCCATTGACCGTACTGAAAAAGAAGGTGGATCAATCACTTGCGAATAGTCCTTGGTAAGAGACTGATGAATATACACATATCTCGGCTTGTTTCGAAGAGATTTTAGTTCCGTACTGAAATGAGGACAATGCATGATCTCATCAAAATTATGTGAAGGAGCAGATGGATGGAACAGATAGTTTTTACCAAGATTTTGGTTTTTTTTCGTTTTCATGTTTCGCTAGACAATGCTGCAGTTCCACCGTACTTCAAACTTTCGGATTGATGGGAAGCCACGACCCTGTCAACGCAAGTTTACTGTATTTCCATGGTATGAGAGACATACCATCTGGTCGTTTACCATAATCTCGACTGGTACCTAAGGGTTCCAGAATAACAGAAACATTTATTGACACCATAGTCCGTTTCAATATGTCGTTCACCTGGTGATGTCGAGACGTACGCCCTGCACTTACCTTTCTCAACTGCAGTGTAGAAAATAATCTATTCCACACGCTATGTGGAAGATGTGGCTTGAGCACATGTGAGTGCTGCAATCACACGAGTGTTGTTATCCAAGCTGGAATTATATTTGTTTGGTCGTGATACTCAGACGGTTCACACCGTTCTGAAGAGACCATGCCTGGTACTGATGATGGGGGAAGCACCTCGAAACCGGTTTATCGGTTGGTCGTATCGAGCAAACGAAATTAATTTCTGATTTTCTTAGTGGGAAATAACTTGCGACGAATCTTTCAAATGGAAGACGTTGCACAGGTGCCTGATGGTTTCAGATGGGCAAGTTGTTGTTTTTCCTATTTGTCACACGTACCTACAAAGTAGTAGATCTGCATGAGAGGAAAGGTCGAGTTTCGGCAAAAAAACGGGTTTCGGTTTCGGCGGCAAACCGATCGAAACTGCATTCGGGAGTTTCCGCGCTGTGATCGGTCATGTTCGGCGCGTTGAATTTCATACAAGCGACGAAGACACGACGATTACACTCGCATTTGAGTTTGGATGTAAATATATCAAAATTAAACTTTCCAATTCTACCAGATCCTAACCCTGTAAAATTGATCGCTCTTGAAATGTTTCGTTTTATTTGTTTATTCTCATTCATTTATATTGGGATGGAAATATTGAAGCAAGAGTATTTATTGATACAGTTTATTGTTATACTCAATACGTAGGACTCAAGCATCATAAATTTCAATGGCAGGCTTCATATTGCTCCACATATTTACTTCAGAGAAGGCCAATTAATTATTGAATTTATTAAGTCATAAATACCCCTATAATTGAACGTGTAGAACTATCAAATACCTTCCTTGCGTTCTGCAATACCAACGACAGTCCCTATATGACTTTTATCCTCGGCGCAGGCGTTTGACTTTGGTATTGATCACCCTCGACGTCTATGACTAAGAGGAAATTTCTGAAGGAGTTCTTAGTTCTCGCGAGAATTTGCGTTTCAGTCGAAATAACGGGTAAAAGTTCAGTTTCGGGATAAGGATTTAGTGAACAAAAGCGCGCTTTGGTGAACGTACAATAATGGCCGAAGAAGGCCCTCAAATAAAACCTGTCCAAGGTGGTAAGTACAAGCGGTGACATTAAGTCTGGAATACGGTAATTATAAACGAATATCAATAATATGTCTGGGGGTGTTTTTGCAGTTTAACTGAGTTTGTTGATCAAAACATTTTCAGTTCTCTCTGAATGGAAATGAAAAAACTATAAATTCAGGATTGTTTTTGAAAAATTGCACGAACCATTATCAACTTTACAGTCATTTCTTTTGTTTTCTTCATGCAATAGCGTCATATATCTCGTATCATATTTTGATATTATTTATAGGTTGACATTTATAGTTTTACCACCCACAACAATTGCTAACGGCTCTATAGAAAGCGCAGGAGAGATCATCGATTTTATTTGATATTAATTTAGAAGTGAAGTCTTATTTCTACGGAGATGAAATGAATGAGTGAATCTTCATTACTCATGAAATTGACTTGATCTAAACAACCAAGGATTGATTACCGAAGCGTATGTATGCAATAAGAATTCTTGTGAGCCTAATGAATTTTGGAGTGATCTCGAAAAAGCACTTTCACTTTCGTTTTAATGTTTGGGGTATTATGTTATTCACTAGAAAATTGACAGAAATATCAAGTTGAGATACCTAAACCTAATGTATGACAAAACAAATACGCCCTTGCAAAAAAAACCGAAAAAACAACAATTGACTCATTAACAGTGAGATACATAAGTAAAAGTTGAATTCATTCCCTACCTAATTGAAAAATTCTGTTATGCGATGTTTGTTCTTACTTATTTTCATGATGAAAAACATCTGCTCACATAAATAGCTACTACCAAACATGCACAGAATGTGAGGTGCATGCATTTTCAATTTCATGTAGGTATCCAAACTCTTGAAATATTGTGTATAAAATGTAAATGAAGTCTATCAACTCCATTTGCTAATGAGCTGTTGCCTATGAAGCTTCAAAATTGAATGGATTGTTGAAAATTGGGAGTTCAATTTCATTCATTCAGAAGTTGAGGATATTCATCCAATTATTTTGGTTCACTGTGGCAAATGATTTCAAAGGAGGCAAATTAAACAAGACCTATATTCAAACCTTTGTTTCAAAGGCTTGTATACAAACCTTGTTTTATTTGCTTCATTTGAAATCATTTGCCTCAGTGAACCAAAATAATTGGATAAATACCTTTGTTTCAAAGGCTTGAATACGGGAATATATTTGAGTTATAGACTAATCGGCTTCGTTAAGAAGCTGGATTTAATTGGTCGAGTGTTAATATGCGTGAGCCACAATAAACCCTTGTGAACGAATAACAGAGACTCCGGGCCATAAACACCAAAAGTTTCAACCGCTACTGGATGGAACAGATAGTTGTTTCCAAGATTTTGGTATTTTTTTCTTTTCAATTTCTCACCAGACAATGCTGCAGTTCCAGCAGACTCTGAACTTTCGGCTAGATGGGAAGCCGCGACCGTGTCAACCCAAGTGAAGTCCCATACCACAAGTTTACCGTATTTCCATGGTATGAGATACATACCATCTGGTCGTTTACCATCATCTCGACTGGTACCTAAGGGTTCCAGAATTGCAGGAACATCCGCTGACAACATAGCCCGTCGAGATGTAGGCCTTGCACTTCTCCTGCAACTCAAACCATGTGTACCTTTCTCATCAACTATACTACCGCAAACACAAGTATGAGAAACACAGATAGATGAACGCTATTCTGAAAGATTCATCGTCTAATAGTCTTCCAAGAGATGCAACAGGTAAAGCATTCAGCCAAGCACCCGATTCCTTGATCAATGCTGCTTTCAGACGAGCCTTATCGTATACACTTGTAGATTTCAGAAGTTTATCAGTTTGGAAAGTTCGAAATAGATGAAAGTTTCAACCTAGCAGACCACTATTATAATATTCATGCAGTCATTGTTCACTGTGGTTCTGGCGTTGAATTTGGTCATTATTACGCCTTGGTCAAAGACTGAACGGACTGGTTTAAGTTTGACGATAGTCGTGTCACAAAGTGTTCTGGCGATGCATTGAATTTATTGGAGCCTCTGGAGACACCCTACATTTTGTTTTATAAGAGAGAGAACATTGTTAGATCAAGATCTCCAGATGATGTGGTGCTGCAGGTTTTTCCGGGTTTTCCTGCAGCTGAAAAAGCAAATGCGCCACCGGAATTAATGAAGTCGCCCCGGAGCGCCAATCAATTTTTATTGTTGTTTTTATTTTATTTTTATCGTTGTTTTAATAAAAGTTTTGAAAAAAAAATCTAACCTAACAATCAGATTTTTACGCTGTTACTTTATACTTTATATTCGGATCAGTCGAATGGTCATTCATATCTACCAAAAAGGCACAATCAGTTGGGTTTTCTTTTTCTAACATGAAAGCTTGAATAAGGTTACGTAATGCAAAAAATGTTTTCAAAACTACTCTTCGACTGAGCTAACGAAATTCGGTAAAATAAGTTACGTCGGAAAACTTTTTGTCCAAATTTTGTAAAAACTGCCTCAACTGTCGGTAATTTAGCCCTCTGCTCCTCATAAAAGTTACTATTTTGATTAAAGGTTGCATGGCATGGTCCATTTTCAAATGTTTGGATGCCAATGATTCCTGACGAATTATACAGTGAAATCTTTCAGAATTCCCCGATGTTTTATGTTTCAATTCAGTTACAACACCTGAATGTTTGCCAGCCCTGGCAGGATCACCATCTGTAGTTGTGCTGCTGAGTTTATTAATGTAGAGTTCATATTCTGCTATCAAATGCTCGATTGCAGAATAAATATCCCTTGCTGTTGTAGTACCTATCAATGGAACGCACTTCAATAGTTCTTCAGTTATTTCAAAGTAACTGTTGATACCTCGTATAAAAACAGTAAGTTGAGCTGAATCAATAGTATCAATGCTCTCGTCAACAATAAGTGAAAGGTTTGTTGATTCCTTAATTTTCTTCTCCATTTGAAGAACCAAATTTTGAGATGAATAATTTATTCTTGAAGCAACAGCGAAATGAAGCATCGGCAACTTTCAACATACAATCTTTAAAAAAATCACCATCAGTGAAATGTTTTGATCTCTAATGCAATAATGAATATCGATTTCGGGGCATCTTTGCTTTTAGTATTAGCTTTGGTAAACATCGATTGTTGACCTTGAAGTTTAGATTTCAAAGATAACAATGTGTCCATTCTTATTTTTTCAGTGTAACAATTGAATTTTGATTTATGATTCGTATCAGACTATCTTTTCAAGTTGAACTCCTCACAAACAGCAACTGTTTGATTGAAAATGAAACACAATTGTTTACCTTTCTATTCAATGGAAAAATATGCAATTTCCCATTCAGACTGAAAAACTCTGCACTCACTATCAACATAGACTTCACAATCACTACTTCGCAATACAACTAGAATCCTTTCCCGACCGTATCGCTTCGATTACTCGACTCTACAGACTCACGTCGCGCCGACGCACTCTTTTCATAAGGGAAATTCTAGTCTGAACCCGAAGCGTGTTCTTTTGTTCTCAACAAAAAAAACAGGGTATTTATGCTTGTTGCTGAGAGATGGCGTTACTGCCTATGATTGAGTTGTTTACTAGAACTAAATAGGTACCTAACTAACACTCTCTCGCTTGTCTAGGCACGCGCTGCCCTTGAAGTTACTTATAAATCCAGGTTGCGCATTTCAAAACTTTCGTAATAAAATCAATTGAAGTCTGAAAGCTCTAAAAAAAATGATTTCTCTTTTTGTGACATTTTGAGATCGTGGGTCGTAGTGATACGACTGATATATACCCATATATACCTTTACAACCACTATAGGTAAAAATGGTAGTACCTACCTGAATTTTGTTTACGTGTCACAATGTGGATACGCCAGTCTGAAAACCGGTGAGTAAACCATGTCAATTTGGTTATTTAGTAGGTTACATTGGCAATGCTTATGTTTATATATTTTCAAAGATTTCAAATAATTGACTTTCCAACCCTTGCCTGCATAGTGCAAAATTTCCGTATCGTTTATATTTGGGAACTTGTGGTTGCATTCCAAAGAATGGTTTCAAAACGTCAAATCATTTTCACCTTTCGTGGTCACCTTACCGTTTTGATAAATTTCGTAACTTTCCGTATCTCAACGATATGGAAATTTTGCACTATGCAGGCAGGGTTTGGAATCTCAATGATTCAAAATCTTTGGAATTGTATAAACATAAGCATTGCGAACTTAACCTACTAAATGACCAAATTGACTTGGTCTACTCGTCGGTTTTCAGACTAGCATATCCACATTGCCGAACGTAAACAAAATTCAGATAATAAAGTCGTTGAGGACTATCTATTTTTACCTACAGCGGTTGTGTAGGTATATGAAGGATGAAGGTATACATTGTTAATAATTTCAGTTTATTGTATGCGTTTGAAAATGTCTTTATGAAACAAAACTACACTAAGTTTTAATTCTCATTTTTCACGCACTTTCCAGATTTGCAATAAACATCTACATCAACTGTGAATGAATTTATATTTTATGACAGTCTCCATTCGACTAAACAAAAATGTATCTTAATGCATCCATATAGATGATTCTCTAGTCGTAATCAGATACCTTCTTTCGTAGGTGAAAAATACATTGACAAACTACATATCTCACAAAAAAGAATTATTTAATTCTCATTAAAAAATCACTCCTGTTGAGCTACTCATGAAGAAAGCTCATATTCATTGCTTTCGGAAATATTTGAAATACTTAAATTACTTGAGCAAGCATCAGGATGGTTTCTGCAAGCAAATATTAACAGAAAACTACTTTTCATATGTCACCCATCTTTGGAACAATTCCATCGAAATTTTCATATTGATGCGCTTAATAATTCACAACCCTCTGTATCATACCAATTGAACTTTCATTCAATGGATTGTCAGAACGTTAGTTCAGACGTTTTATACAGAACTGATATTCTAAGAATATTGAAAAAATTGTTATATTGAATTACAATGAAAATTCAAAGTATTTAGGGGTGACGTTAAATGCGTGGTTCGACTATCATATTCATATTATATCAGACAGTCTACGGTAAACACCAATCCAATGTATTGTAGGATTTTCACTGTAACAAGGTAAAAAACTGTAATTTAGCTATAGTGTATAATACCTTCCTCAAGCAGGAATGAGGGAAGAGCGAAAACTCATTGAAACTATTCCTTGGAGTTTTACGTGTTTTTAACATTACATAATCTAATATACTCCCAAGTGTGATGAATGGCAAAGTGGAAAGTTCACTGCGAAAACTTAATTCGAAAGGTCTAATTAATCAGTAACTTGATTTCCCCACAAAAAAATGATGTGTTTCAAAGGAAACTCACTCATTCAAAAATATAACACATAACCACCCCGATAATGATACTTTTGCTTTTCAAATTTTGCGTCTTTCTCCACCTTTTTTTTAATATCACTTGTCCATTTTCCCAAATCTCTGTAAAACACTGCAGCTCATGAGACTGCAATGTTTTCCAGTATATAGTGAATCTATTCCTGTCCACTAGTTCTGTCAGTTCTTCACGTCATTTCCAGACCAGTCTTGATATCGCTTTTGGGTTCATCACCGCCGTAAGTGCAGCCTACCTGTCTGTGAAAATATTGATCCGTTCATTTCGTTAAGGCGTCGAAATGAAGTACCTTGTGCATTGTGATATTGCATACAGTTTGGATCTTTTTCTGAGCGTATAGTCAATCCTCCTGCAGCTTGTAACATCGAAATTTCAAAATCACTTCCCTCCGCAGAGCTTTCAAGCGAATGCAATGTTGTATGAAACGCCTTGCAGTAATTGATTCAAGACATAATGTGGTGCGTTTATAGTGCACTGCGACTCTCTTCTACCACCTACGTTCAACATTCGAGCATATGAAATTCAGATAACAACTCATATCACACTGAATTCAAATATGTAATTGGTCTATAATGCTTCGAAAGAGACAAATCTTCATTTCAAGAACGGTCCATACATAAGAACGTTCCATTTCTCGACAAACCACGCCGGAATTCGCTGCTTTACATCCAGCAGAAAAAGATATTTTCTGATCAAGTGGTGGTGGGTGAATATTTTGAAACCATTTCAATCCATCAGCAGCAAATTTCTTAAAACCCAAAAGGGCGGTACACGCAGTTTATTTTGTTCAGCCTATTGTAATCTTCTACAGATAGACTCAAATGGCGTTGAGGCTGGATTGTGTTGGTTTACTGGTTGCCGATGCTTATAGATATCTTTCCAGAAGGATTCCACCCGATCAGCATTTGTCGGATTATCCAGAACACGCGGATGTTTTAGAAATAGGCTAAAAAAATTTGGTATTCTCTTTGATTTCCTGCTATCTACGAGTGACTCACGACAATGGTATCCGAGACAATACTACTTTGAAATTCAGAGGCTATACGCAGTGCAGCAGTCGTGAAAAACCTATAAGTCATACTGCAGCCTCTTAAACATCGTATAAGAGTATGTGTTGTCCCACTGTCTCGATCTCAGCTTCCGATATTTCACCTTTCTGTTTCAGAAAGTGCTTGAATGGCGTTGTACACAGCGGTGTTGATTTGACAGATGTCAACCTCTCTATCAAGAGTATCATGAACCTCTGCTATTATTTGAGCTGGTTGATGGGGCTTCAGGGGTGCCTAAGTTCGTGGAGCGCTAAGCGTGTTTCGCTAGTCTCCACTGATGGTATGATGCGAAGCCCCTGTTCAAGTTTATGTTCAAGCACATCGCTCATAATGGTGAGGAGGAGGTGGACATCCTCATCGACGGATATAGGATATGTTCGACATTTGTTCTACAGGGTGTTTCCTAACTACGATACTAAACTTCAGGCCGTTTTAAGAAAAAAAGTTTTTTGGACATATGTTCGGAGTTGCTTCATTTCTGAAATGCTGAAATGGCTCACATGCACACTTCATTCATGGATTACCAAATGGAAATGCGGAAGAAGCAGGGTAATTCCATGTGCTAAAACATTTGGAATGCTACCTGAAAGATAATGTGAAACTGAAAGTTTCAATAAAAATGCAAATTGTGGAAGACCAGAAACTGTAACAACGTCTGAACTTGAAGAAACTATACTTGATGCTATAGTAGAATATCCTTCAAATAGTACCAGGAAGATTGCACTGCAGCTGAAAGTCAGACCAAAAACCGTATGGACAGTTTTAAAAAGAAACCTCAACTATACCCATGTCGCATACAGAGGGCCTCGTGATCACTCAAGATTAATATTTTTCAGGTGGTTGATTCATATGACGGTACACAATACTATTTTTAACCAAATATTTTATTTACGTACGTTACGTTATTAGAAAAAATAATTTTCAGCAACAATTTTTGCTAAACCTTCGAGTAGGAATGATTGGTGACTACCTAATTGGCCCAATTTTTCTACCAGCAAGATTAACAGGTGAATCCTACCCATTTTGTTACAAGAAGTGCCGATACCTGTAAGAGGAAATATGTAGTTGTTGCACGACGGGGCTGCAGCTCATTTTAGTGTTCTTGCTCGTCAGAATCTCGACATCACCAACCCTAATTGCTGGATTTGACGTGCAGGACCTCAAAATTGGCCAGCTCGCAGTCCTGATATGAATCCTTTAGATTTCTATTCATGAGGTCATCTTGTTTATGAAACTCTTGTACTAGATGTGAATGATCTGAGGAATCGAATAACTGACAATTGCAATGTCATAAGGAATACTCCAGGTATTTTTGAACGTGTCAAACAATCAATGACACATCGATTGGGGTCATGTATTTTATCCGAAGGCGGACATTTTGCTCATTTATTTCAAGGTCAAAAGTTTTGAGAAGTGATTTTTTTTCTCGAAAACGAAGCTTGATATTAAGAAAACGCAAGCGACGGAAAAGTTGTATTTTCATGTGCTCAATCTAAAAAAATTGAAATACTTCAAAAAAAGTTGCTCAAATGTTGACTCCGTCATAATTTTGACAACTCTTTCTGAAGAATGATTAACTTATCTGTTAACTGGAGTTTGTCCCGTAATGAATATATCATAAAAAATACAATAGGTATTTATCTCATTGATTGTATTGCTCAGATAATTCATTTTGCAAAATCAGAATCTTGGTTGATGTTATGCGATCTATTAGGATGTGTTGGTTTTCACTATGGTCTATTTCAAGTGTATCAGTAATGTAACACATATTTGCCTTTTCCATTGGAGATTGTATTTCCATTAGGAAATTAAATGAATTCATCATAATAATGTATCTACGTAGTATCATCGTTAAATATTACACATTCTTATGATCCAAGCCAATTGATATGAACATTAAATGATAGAGGCTCCAAAACTGTGTTGTTGGGTATCCCTTGTATAACAAAAATCATTCCGAGAGGACACTGAAACAGGTTACGATCGAAGACTTCCACCTATTCATATGACCTTTGCTATTTCAGGATATAGACTTCAAAATTCATTTGAACTACTGCCCTGCTTGCTGTATCTATCGTTATGTAATTTATGTAAAATCTTGAAAATCAGAGAAAACTTTTATATTTTCAATACAGAAGATACAAATGGAAAATCAAAAATGAAATTTCATCGTATGGAATTTTAAATCAAAATATAGGTACCATTTTGATTTTTTTATACTGAGGTATATTTGAGGTAATGGAGAACTGATCATTTATTCAACGTTCAAAAAATCGATTTCAGTATGAAAATACCATTTTATCACGGTGTGTAGGTTTTCAGAGCCAGTGTCTAACAGGTTTACCGACGACTTTAGGTCCATTAGTCTTGGTCAGTTTTTTATACCTTATACCCTGACGTCAGGTGTAAACATATTCAGACCACAACTTAACCCAGAAACTTCGAACAATGTGTTTTCATTTCATTCTTTATTTTGCAGTAACTTACCACACTATAATCGCCCTATGTCTGGGAGGATTACTCTTTGGCGTTTTGATGATAGCTCTTTCCTGGTACTGTTACCATCGTCGACTACGTAACGCCAAAAGACATGGACCGGATCAACCACTTGCATTCCACACTCATCGACGCCCGACTGCTGTTAAAAGCCCAGCCGGAAGTGGAGGGGGTACTCATTATTTGAAGAAAAGTCCTAGCCCCACCGGACCCGTGAAAACTCCTCCCGGGGTAAGTGGAATGCAGGGCAATTAATTATGGATCAATATAAGAGTTAGCGTGTTTTGAAACTTTTCAAGGTTAACTCACGATGGAATAACATTTTTCTGGAATATTTTATGTAAATGATGGAAATTGAACTTTTGCCGATATCTTGAAATAACATGTTCTGAAAGAAAAAAAAGTGTATCAGTTTCCAACCCATTCAAATAATTTGTGGTATAGATAAACTCGTCGAACTCGGTCAGCAAAGCAATACCCAGAATATTATTCAAACTCATCTAAAAATAATGATTTTCATCGAGTCTCTCCAATCACACATCTTCAGAAAATTTCTTCAGGCAAGTGATTTTCTGACAAAGTGATGATACGAGTGCTATATCGGGGTTTTCGAGAAACTATTTCATACTTCCAATACTATGTCTCACATCACTATGACACCAATTTTTCAGTTACTTGACAAGTCTAAGCCGACATATCTCCGTTGACTTTTCGAAAGCCTTCGATACTGTCCAAAAGACTTCTCCGAAAATTGGAACATATTGGATCAAGAGACAAATTTTATCTATATGGTAGAAAACAAATTGTATACATTGATGTTAAAGTGGGCGGATGAAAGAAATTGAGAGAATGATTCCTACCTTTACAAATTATACTGTAATCTTTCATCAGGCAAATATACGGTTATAAGACAAAAAATCAGCTTCATCATATCTGATATTCTCAGTAGTAAATATTGACATCAAAAGTGTTGAAATGAAATAATATTACAGATTTGTTCAGAATTTTCTCGTTCATTTACAGATGTCAACTCCTCATACACCAAGCCCTACTGGCAGTGTCATTGGACCCTTAGAGAGTGGAGTTATGAATAGTGGACAGCTAGAGTCTAAATCTGGAATGGAACCTGTCGTCAAAGATGTGTTCAACTCTGAAAATGAAAAGAATCATCAACCAACGAAAGAAGAAATTGAAACTAATGAGAAAAATCTACAGCAGAATGCTGCTTATCTAGGCCAACTAGTGTTCAAGCTCAGGTGAGTGTTACCTATTTTTAAGACAATTGACTTCAGTTACAGCCCATTTCAGAAAACAGTGTCAGGATAATACTCGTAAGAAGTTTGGTTACCTATATAAGGCAGATATTTCTCAACCAACTGCTGTGATCGAGTGGTGTTTGGTGATTTTCGTATTAATAAACCTTTCTGAATGAATATGTGATTTACTTTTTTTGTTTTAATCGAAAAATATTTAATATATTATTGAATTACATTTTTCCATTTATATTATTGTTGGGGCGTGGTGAAAGCTTGAAAGGGCGGTGATTCTCTCAACTCTGTTGTGTTGGGTGGTCGGTGAGGTATTTGACCATTAGCTACTTCCAACATCTGCCAAATTATTGGCTAGTTGCTCTGCAACTCGACATGGATATCGAAATCTTAAACAGTAGTGTGTAGTGAGGTCAACTAGATGGAACATTGAATGAAATCAGTGACAAGATATCGAAAACTTATGCAAAAACAACATTGCAAATATGTTCCTTCTCTGATTTCTT